TATGGGCGCTGGTTCTAATCCCGGCAGCTCCACTTCCCATCCAGCTCCCTGCTTGTGGCCTTGCACTGACTGGTGTGCATGAGCCAGGGATACTAGGACACAGCATCAAAGGCAAAGGTCAAGACAGGTGAGGGACTATGCCAGGCTGGGTCAGAGCAACCACTGGCACACGCATAATCTAGGGCTGGAAATAGGCTCAGTTGAGAACTGTGAGAGTACACCTTTGCTGGGTTGGGGTTCCCACAGGAGAGTGTGGCAGCCAGAGTGGGGCTGCGTTCTGGTCTGGATATGGCTATATCCTCCCTTGGCACAAGTGTGAAATAGGGCTGAGTACACCTAGCCGGACTAGACGCCAGCACCATCTGGTGCTCTGGAGGACCAGGGTAGATGTAGGATGGACTAGACTAGGTCTCTGCCTCTACTGAGCCATGTGACAGCAGTGTCTGGGTATGGACCAGCCTTGGTTGGGCTGAAACATCCAACAGTAAGAACCAGAATGGATTGAAGGCCAGCAAGGAAAGGCCACTGTTACTATTAGGACAGGAGGTGGACTCAGTAGGACTGGCCCATGGGCCTACCAGTATGTGCAAGATCTGGCACAGGCAGAGGTTCTGATGGAGGAGCTTCGGAAACTCCTCTGTCGAGACACAGTCCCTGCAGGTGAGCACAAGAACCACGATAAGGAGCAACTCAGACAAGGCCAGAGAAAAATACCCATTGGCATACATTTACATAGGTCAGGGGCAGACCCGGCTGAACCAGTTCACATCACCCATTGGTGAATCCGAGCACCAGAATAGAGTGTGGGTCTGACCAGGTTCATTTGTGATACAAACCAGTGCACATTACAGAATGTCAGGGTGAGGTGAGCCGTACCAGATTGGGGCACAGCACTCAACCAGCACACGTAAGAACCAGGGAGGGAGAGGGTAAAGCCGGTAGGGGGAATGTGGAGGGTTCCCCTGCTGGACAGCCACTCCCACTGTAGAGCATGAGCTGGGATGGGGGCAGACCAGATCAGGCAGGGCTACAACACCTGTGGAACTCATATGAGCTAGAACAGGGAAAAGCCAGGCTGGGCTGATTGTTCCTACTGGTGCAAGCATAAATTAGAGTGGATGAGGGTTGGTTGGCCTTTGCTGCAGCATCAGCTGGCAGAGACTGGCACTGGGGGGCTAATTGTGTCAATTTAAACTCCAGAACCACCTGGAGAGTGCATAATCCTGGAATGGGAGTATCCTAGTAGGAAAATAGTGGGCTCCTCCCTCTTGGGTTACCCCTCCCACTGGAGAGCATGAAACCTAGGACAGGGGCAGGGGTGGTTAGATAGAACAGCACCTACCAGTATGTGTGTGGGTTGGATATTTGGGCAGGTTGAGTTCACTAGGCTTCAATGCCCATTGATATGTACGAGAGCGAGATGGGATGTGGGACAGACTGAACAAGTCTGTGGTACATACTGGCAAGCATGGGAACCATGGTAGGAATGGGTTATGGGGAGTCACCCCAACTAGGCTGCAGCTCCCAGTGGTTTGCATGGGGCTGCCGAGTATGAAGTGGGCAGGATCGGACTGGACTGCAACAACCATTGGTTCCAGTGGAAGACAGGACTGGAAACAGAACTGACCCAGTAATTGCAATGACCAGCATGTGCATAAGCTGATTGGGACGACGGATGGTGCCAGACCCTATACTGGCAAGCACACACGAACCAGGTCTGGGATCACCCCAGACGAAGTTTCTTTGGAGATCCCTCCAACTGAACTGCTGATCTCAGAACCCCAACCATGAAGAGACTAAGTCAACCAGTGGGTCTGAATACATTTCATTGTTCTTGAAATGACAAGATTGGCAGCAATTCAGAACTGTTGAACTATTGAACTGTTGAACTAGCAGGACCCTTTAGCATGCCCCACATCAGGGACCTGGGATGAGTGGGAGGTTGGGTGGGGCTTCTCCCTTTGTTGCTCTCCTGACCCCAAATACAGGAGAAAAATGATGATATTAGTGTGGAAAAAAAAAAGAAAACAGTGAAAAAGCTTTAAACCATGATTATTTCCCTTCACTTTTTTCCCTTCCTCCTTAAAAAAAAAAAAAACAGGAGGCATGGCATGATAGCCTAGTAGCTAAAGCCCTTGCCTTGTACACACCAGGATCTCATACGGGCACTGGTTCATGCCCTGGCTGTGCCACCTCTGATCCAGCTCCCTGTTTGTGGCTGGGGAAAGAGCCGATGAAGGCCCATGTTGGAGATCCATAAGAAGTTCCTGGTTCTTGGTTTTGGATTGGCTCAGCTCTGGCCATTGCGGCCACTTGCAGAGTGAATCAGCGGATGGAAGATCTTTCGCTCTGACTCTCCTTCTCTGTAAATCTGACTTTGCAATAAAAATAAATAAAATCTTTTAAAAAGAAAGATTTAAAAAATCAATTTGAAGGGCAAGAGCAGTGTGACAAAGAGACAGAGTAGAATCAGAGCAAATTGTTTTCCATCTGTTGATTCACTTTCTGAACGGTTGGCTGAGTGGAGTAGCCGAGATTCCAACACTAATAATTCAGTAGTTGGATGCAGCATCCTAAGTGGTGGACTGACCTGCTACATCACAAGGCCAGCATCTCCCCACATCGCACATTTTTCTGATATGTTTTTCTTCCAAATATCACTTTGAATGTAGTGATTGTTTCTTCCTGTTGCTTCCTCTTTCCTCCACCATCCAAGTTTTCTTTTTTAAGATTTATTTATTTTTATTAGAAAGGCAGATTTATAGAGAGGGGAGACAAAGAGAAAGATCTTTCATCTGCTGGTTCCCTTCCTAAGTGGCTGCAAAGGCCAGAGCTGAGCCAATCCAAAGCCAGGAACCTGGAATTTCTTCTGGGTCTCCCACGTGGGTGCAAGGTCCCAAGGCTTTGGGCCGTCCTTTACTGCTTTCCCAGACCACCAACAGGGAGCTGGATGGGAAGCAGGGGCCAACGGAACAGGAACCAGCACCCATATGAGCACTTGCAAGGCAAGGATTTAGCCAGTGAGCCATTGTGCTGGGCTCCCAAGTTTCTTTGTAGAGGATCAAGACAGCATGCCAAGTTTGTGACAGCAAATTTGCTTTAATACGACTCTAGTCTCAATGGATCCCAGTCCCTAAATTCATGGACTGAAACTCAATTTCAATATAACTGGTGGGCACCCTTGGGATGTGATCAAAGTGGATTAGTGTCTTACAAATGGGCTGGAAGGAATTAGTTTAACACCTCTCTGACTTTGGCTCTGTAAGGACACACAGCAAGGAGGCACCATCTTGGGGGCTGGTGTTGGACAATGTGCCACTTTGTGACAAAGGTTGCCACTTGCAATGCCAGTGTCCTATAGGAGCTTGGTTCTGCTTCTTACACAGCTTGCTGCTGGGTGAGCCTGGAAAAGTCCAGAGCTTAATCCTGGTCACCCACAGGAGTGGCTAGGAACGGGGTCAGAGTCTGGGAGGGCCTGGAATACAGGTACCCAGCAGACAAGGGATGTGGGTCCCCCTGCAGCAGCTCACCACCTGGAGCTGGATTTTTAGCATGTTCAGGAAAGCTTTAGCAAGAGTGGACTACTTGGGGCGGGGGGTGGCAGGGAACCAGATCATCAGGGACAAGGAACAGCTAAAGCTTCCAGACACCGTTTTGAGTCAGTTTTGCACATCACACATATCAAAACACATGGTGAGCAGGAAGGGCCTTCCTGCGTCCCACCCCTACCCCCACCCTCGTTCTCTATCCTGGACATCCCTGGCCTTTGCTATGAACCTCTCACAAACTGATTTTCCAGGAGGCAGGGTTTTTGCTAAGGGGGTAGGGCGGTGGATAGTGTATCTTCCTCCTGGTTACTTTTCACAGTAAATCTCTCTTCTGGACAACTCCAAGAGGTTGGTTATTCCCCAACACCTCCAGCCTTGGGACACTTGGGGCTGGCTAACAACGGCTTGGGTCCCCTTCCTGCCAGTCTTGAGGGCAGCAGGGCCCTTGAACAGACCCCTTCGTACCCTCCCTGCCCACCTTGAAGACTGGTGGGAACTCAGGGAGAGAAATGCGGTAGCATGACTTGGTTAACCAACACACTGTTCATAGTTAAGGGGTCTTTGTTGCTGGCATTGTCAGAGGCAACACGGGTAACAGAAACAGCTTGAATTTTGGAGCAAAGGGACCCCAGAGTCGTGCTTAACCTTTATCAACCAGTCTCCCATCTTGAAGATAACCTACCTAAAGCACTTGGCAGTTCGTAAGAGTTCAGCGAATTTATGCCACTAAACGAGACAAAGCACGTGCATTCGGAAAGCGTAGAATACTGCATTAATGAAAACAGTAAAAACCATCCCTGGGTTCAGGGCTCTGAAGTCCAACAATGTCCAGGGATGTAGGGATGGAAGGGACTGCACAAAATCCTCATCATGGGATCCACCGAGCGCCAGTTCGCACAAAAAGTCCCATTATTTGCAGAGAAAACGGCATATACGGGGAAACCCGAACTCTCCCGTCAGAGGCCAGGCGAGGCTGCCTCCGAGCCCCGGTCACGCCGGCGTTCCCCGCGGCAGCCGAGAGGGGGCGCACGCCCCGCACGGCTTCCCCTTTGCGCACGCGTGCTTCTCCGGGGCTCCCGCGTCCCCGCCGTCCACCATTCCCCTGAGCGTCTTGCCTCTGACGTTCCTCGCTGACGTAGCGAGCGGCGGCCCGGAGCCCAGCGGAAGTCCCGAGCCATCCCGGCGACCCAGGGGAGCGCCGAGAGGAGCAGTGGGGGCCGGAAGTGGGGGGAGGGTTCCTCAGCCGGTGCGCGAATCAGGAAGGAGTCGGAGGGGTCGCGCGGGGGTGTGGCCTCGTGAGGCAGAGAGCGCTGCGATTGGTCCCCGGCGGTGGCGACGGCGACGATTGGCCGAGGCGTGAGCAGCGCGGTGAGAATGGGTGACGGCCGTTGAAATTCAAAAGTGGCGGGTGTGGCGCGGAGCAGCGGGACCCTCCCGAGCCGAACCGCACGAGCTCCGCATCACGAGCGGGCCGGAACGCGCGCGCCCCGGGAGTCCCGGCGTCCCGGCCTCTGCCATTGCGCACCCCCTGACGTGTGTAAGACCGAGGTGGACATGGAGCCGCAGGTGAGTAGCGGTCGGCGCCTGTTTCTCGCCCCTGGCGGCTGGTAACGAACGGGTGGCTGCCCCGACGCCGTCCTAGCCTGGGCTCCTCCGCTGCTGCGGGGGTCCTGGGCAGCATCGGTGTGCTCCCCACTACTCTCGTGTCTAGGGCACAGCCTTTCTCACCTTGTTGTGTTTTCAGGATTGCCCATTTAGAATTCCCAGGCTCGTGCTGCATGTTTCCTCCACTTCGTTGTTACTCAGGATTGCAGTGTGTGGGAAGAGTTGGGGGGCGGGGAACCCCTACCTGCGGACTTGGCGTCTCTGTGTGTTGTTCCTCTTGCTTTTTCTGGGTGTTGCGAGCGGTAATGGGATAATCTGGGCTGTAGATCTCCCATCCCAGGCTGTGTAGATTCCTGGTTGATGTGGTTAGTTCTCCCCACAGCTGGCTATGGGCTCCCCTCTTCAGCGGAAAGGGGTGCACGGGGGAAATTGCAAAAGATCGTGGAAAGTAGAATTAAAAGAATTTACTTCCTTGCAAAAGATTGTGAGATTCATGCACGGTTTGTCATAGTTTGTGTTTTTCATGAGCTTATTGAGGACTGCATCCTGTGCTTGACGGCGAGTGTGCTGACCTGGGGTGGCAGAGGAGAGGTCTTCCCTGTGTCCTTTGTTTATTAGTATTTCACATCCTGATTGACTCAAAGGCGAAGTTCGCCCTGATGGGATGGTATTTGTATTTGGGAAGCAGAAGAATGAAACAGAGTGTGTTGTGACTTTAAAAAAATCTCAGGTCTATGTACAGCTTAGGTAGATGCTAGGAGTTATTGTAAATGCTTAGGGTGCAATTGCAAATATACAAATCCCCTTCTTCCTGGAGCTGCTGGTCAGTGCCAAAAGTGGCATACACCTTCCAGTTATCTGTGGGGACCCCAGAAAGCTTGTGGAAATGGAATTAAAAGATTTTTGGGCCCGGCGGCGTGGCCTAGCAGCTAAAGTCCTCGCCTTGAACGTGCCGGGATCCCATATGGGCGCTGGTTCTAATCCTGGCAGCTCCACTTCTCATCCACCTCCCTGCTTATGGCCTGGGAAAGCAGTTGAGGACGGCCCAATGCCTTGGGATCCTGCACCCATGTGGGAGACCTGGAGGAGGTTCCTGGCTCCTGGCTTCAGATCGGCACAGCATCGGCCATTGCACTCTCTTGGGGAGTGAATCATCGGACGGAAGATCTTCCTTCCTCTCTATCTCTCCAGCTCTCTGTATATCTGAATTTGTAATAAAAATAAATAAATCTTTATAAAAAAAGGTCAGTTTTATTTTGGTGCCAATTTTGTTTTGAAATCTACATGTGCAGAACATCTTCAGAAAGCTCATGAAAAAAATGTGGATTTTAGGACGAGCTAGTGAAAAGTGAACCTTTGCATAAGATCACAGTTGCCCTCTCTTTGGGGCCATTGTAGGGACCAGCGATCGAGAATCAGTTGAACATCTTCGGTGAAGAGATGCGATCTGTCCTAGAGTTTGAGAGGTTCACTCTCACCTTGAGGTTGGATTGCAAGTGGGCAAAGGTACAAGCAAGGCTTGCTGGGAGTGCAGCGGGCTTTTCCTACCTCAGCAGGTGCATACTTGGTTCTGGGAGCTGTCCAGTCCATGGTCTGATGCTTAGGGTCCCTGCCCTCTGCTGCCAGATGCTGCTTGCAAGCGACAGTGTCTTAAGGCATTGTCTGGAGGCTGTAAGACCATCAATGCCCTATTGAGAGATCCTGGTGTGTAACACTCAGGGTGCCATGGGACAGTGACTGAGATCAGCCTGGGAACAGTGGAAGAAGGAGCCGCAAGAGGGTCTGATTGTGGCTGTGGTTGAAAGGTGGAGTCAGCCTTGGCTTGCAGACAGATTGGAGGTGATGTGTTAGAGAAAGGGTAGACGCTGGGAGTTTTAGACTGAGCAACTGAAAGAGGAGTTAGACCACCTGAGTTGGAAAAAGCTGCAAGAGGAGTAAGTGTGACAGGTTGGCAGCAGCAGGCTGGTTACTAGACTTCCAGGTGGAGGCAGTCGGGTAAGTTCGGGTGTGAAGTCTGGGCTAGAGACGAATATTTGGGAACTGTCAGCCTATCAGCGGTTTTTAAAGTCCTAGGTACGGGTGGTGACTGTAGTCACAGAGTCAGAAGACAGCTGATGGCTTTGGAGAGATGAGGGAGGCCTGTCCCATAGGCCTGTTCCATAGGACAGGAAAATTAAGAAAGGGTGGTCTTCTGGAGACTAAGAAAAGAAAATCTGTTAAAGCAGAGGGAGTGAGGAATTGTGTTAAATGCTGCTAGATGGGTCAGGGAATGTTTGGAATGTTTGGATTGACATGCTGTAGCGGATGAAGCTGCTGCTTAGAAGGCTAGCATCCCACATCAGAGCTCTGCTTCCAAACCAGCTTCTTGGTAGTGCTCCTGGGAAAGCACAGAGGATAGTCCCGCTGCATGGGCCCCTGATACACTATGGGAGACCCAGAAGGAGTTTCTGACTTGGCCTTGACCAACCCTGGCTCTTGTGCCCATCTGCGGGTAAACCAGTGGATGGAAATCCCACCCCACCCACACTATGTTACTCTGCCTTTCAGAATAGTCTCTCTTTAGAAAGAGAGGAGCATGAGGATAGAACAGGTACCATGGGGTAGTGGGACACTCATATCCTATAATAAAGTACCTGGGACCAAAGCCCAGTTTTCCTCTTCCGTCCAGCTTCCTGCTGTTGCTATGAGGCAGCAGATGATGGTCCAGTGCTGGCTTCCTGCCACCCACCTGGGCAGCCTGGATGATGTTTTTGGCCCCTGGTTGAGCCCTGACTGTTGAGGGCATTTGGGGAGTGAAGTGGCTAATGGGAGATCTTTGTCTCTGTCTCTCTTTGTCATTGCTTTTCAAATAATTAAGTCATAAAAAGACCCAGGAGGATGAAGAATTGACTTAGTAACATGAAGTTGCAGGAGTTTTGTTGGAATGATGGGAGTGAATACCTGATTGGAATGGGCTTGGGAGGGAAATGAGACATCGTGAACACTGTAGAAACAACACCTTGAGGAGTTTTGCCGCGAAGGGCAGCAAGGGAAAAAGATGATAACCAGCAGAGAAGGCCAAGTGGAGACTCCTAGGCTGAGAAAAGTCACCACTTGTGTTACACAGGCTCAGGTGACCCCACACAGGAGAAAGGTTGATGGAGTGGAGGAGCGGAGGGAGGGTTACTACAACAGTGTGTGAGGTGGTGAAGTGAGTGGCATTCATCTGGGAACTTGGAAAATGAATGTAAGCAAGGATGGGGCGTGGGGAAAGGCTCCCTGGAGTAGCAGGTTAAACCTCTGACTGCAGTGCCAACATCCCATTTGGGTGCCAGTTTGAGTCCCAACTGCTCCATTCCCAGTCCAGCTCTCTGCTGATGTGCCTGGAAAAGCAGCAGAAGGTGGTTCAAGTTCTTGAACTTTTGCTCCCACAGGGAGACCTGAAAAGCTCTAGGCTCCTTGCTTCAAACTGTCCCAGCTCTGACCATTGCCAGTCCCATGGGGAGTGAACCAGCAGATGGAAGATCCTGTCTCTTCTTCTGCCTAGTTCTGGCTTTCAAACAAACAAATCTTGAAAAAAAAGAAAAAACAACTGGATAGATGTGCTTTAAACAAAAAAGATTTATTTTTTGTTTACTTGAAAGGTATAGCTATAGGGAATGCAAGAGAGACAGAGAGAGAGAGATCTTCTATCTGCTGGTTCACTCCCCAAATAGCAGTCAGAGCCTGGGCAGAGCCTGGGCAGAGCCTGGGCAGAGCCTGGAGTTTCATTAGTATTTCCCATGAGTGAGCCTACATACTTGGGCCATCCTCCACTGCTATTCCAGTTCATTAGCAGAGAGCTGGATAGGAAGTGGGTGGGTTGTGTCTGGAACCTGGATTCATATGGAATGCCAGAATTACAAAGGCCTAATATGCTATGCCATAATGTAGGCTCCTGGATGTCTGTTCTTATAAAAGGTTATATGTTTGGGGCCCAGCGCAATAGTGTAATGGTTAAGGTTCTTGCCTTGCATATGCCAGGATCCCGTATGGGTGCTGGTTCTAATCCCAGAGGCCCCGCATCCCATCCAGCTCCCTGCTTGTGGCCTGGGAAAGCAGTGGAGGACAGCCCAAAGCCTAGGGACCCTGCACCTGTGTAGGAGACCTGGAAGAAGCTTCTGGTTCCTGGCTTTGGATCAGCTCAGCTCTAGCTATTGCAGTCACTTGGGGAGTGAATCAATGGACGGGAAGATCTTCCTCTCTGTCTCTCCTCCTCTCTGTATATCTGACTTTCCAATAAAAATAAATAAATCTTTTTTAAAAGCTAGTTTAAAAATTTATTTTTATTTTATTTAAGAAGCAGAAAGATAGGAGGTAGATCTCTCTCTTTAAAATATTAAAGCATTTATTTATTTATTTTTTAAGAGCTTCTGTCCATTGATTCACTCCCCAAGTGACCACAATGGCTGGTGCTGTGCTGATCTGAAGCCAGGAGCCTGGAGCTTCTTCTGGGTCTCCCACACGGGTGCAGGGTCCCAAAGCCTTGAGCTGTCTTCGACTGCTTTCCCAAGCTACAAGCAGGGAGGTGGATGAGAAGCAGGGCTGTCGGGATTAGAACCAGCACCCATACAGGATCCTGGCACGTGCAAAGCGAGGACTTTAGCTGCTAGGCTACCACGCTAGGCCTAGGAGGTAAGTCTGTCATGGTCCATTGTGGTAGTGTAGAGAGGTAGAAGGGCATGGATTATAAAAACCAATTTAATGCTTGGCACTGGAATACTTAAAGAAAAAAATTAATTCTCATAGTATGTATGATTAAAATAAGCCTTCCTTCTGCACATTTTTACAGGTGGCAGGTAAAAATGTCACACATTGTTTTCCCTTTTTATTTCGGTATAAACTATTAGTTGGATATGTCACAGCTTATTTTAAATATTCCCCTCATGGACATTTAATTCCTTCAAAAACCACAGAATCCTACCAGGTGGCAGACATTGTTCTAGTCCCTCTATTTTGATAGTTGTGAACAAAACAGATAAGGACTTAATTGGAAGGCTGAGTTAGGAGAGACAGAGAAATGGAGATGTTCCCATCTGCTGGTTCACTGCCCAGATAACCACAATGGCCAGAGCTGGGCTGGTCTGAAGCCTTCTGGAAGCTGGAGCTTCTTTGGGTCTTCCATGCAAGGACTTGGGCCATCTTTTACTGTTTTTCCAGGTACATTAGCAGGGAGCTGGATTGTAAGTGGGACAGCTGGCACTTCACTCAGTGCCCATAAGGATGTCAACACCATAGATAGAGGCTTAACCTACTGTGGTACGCCACTGGTCTTTCTCTCTCTCTCTCCCTCTCTTCCTTTCTTTTTTCTTTGTTTCTTCCTTCCTTTTTAGAATTTTATTTATTTGTTTGAAAGGCATGGTTACAGGGAGAGAGATCTCCTATCCATTGATTCACCTCCCAAATGGCCATAAGAGCCAAGGCTGGGCCAGGCGGAATGCAGGAGCCAGGAGCTTCATCTAGGTCCCCCACATGGGTGCAGGGGTCTACACACTTGAGCCTTCTTACCCCTGCCTTCCCAGGTCCTATTAATAGCAGGAGTGGATTGGGAGTGGAGAAGCCCAGACTCGAACTGGTGCCCATATGGGATGCCATACTGCAGGCAGCAGCTTAACTGCCTCCCAGGGTGTACATTCTTAGGTGTATGAACTGGGAGGTGGAGCTGTGACTTGAACCCAAGCACTCTGAACACTAATGGGTGTCTTACCAGCATCTTAGCCACCAGGGCAAATGCCTACTCCATGTCCCACCTCTGCTATTTGAATGGCACATCAACTCTGAGTCCTAGCTTTCAGCACAAGTTGTCTTCAGTTAATAATTGTTGTTGATGTTGAGAATTGATACTGGGAAACCAAAAGGGGAGTTTTGAGTGACTTTTGGGGTCGTGGCCATCGTTCAAACAGTTTTTGTTTGTCCACTAGAGGCCTCCGCTGTTGGAAGTGAGGGGGAACGTAGAGCTGAAGACACCCCTGGTTAAGGGCTCGTCCCGACTTCCTCTTCCAGAAAGCAGCCGCAAGAGGGGGCCTGATCAGACGGAAAATGCCTTGGAGCCTGAAAAGGTGAGCTGGGTTTAAAAAGCCACATATGTGTGTAGCTTATGCGTGTGTGTGTGTGAGAGAGAGAAGAGATTCAATGGTTCTTATCCTAATCTCTCGCAGAAACGGACAAGGGTCCTGGGTGCGTCCACCAGAACAGACTCATCCCGTGCCAGAGCGCCACCACTCAGCACGGGGTCCCAGACCCAAGGCCGGATCACAGGTGAACCCAGGGATGAGCCAGGGGCCAAGGGCACAGGAGTCGAATGCTTCAACTTTTATTCCTTCTCTTTGACTTTTAGTCTGGTTTGAATTGATAGTACATTTCACTTAGTGCAGAATTGACTGGCACAAAATGTCCTACCGCAGTCCCTTACTTAGCTGCCCGATTTTCCTTCTCAGAGGCAACTGTGTGTCCTACGGGGAAGTTGTATGGGTATTTGAGCATGTGTGGACTTGTTCCCCCTGTTTCTGCCCAAATGGTAACCTCCTTTACGTAACGTTCTGATTTTCCCCTGCTTTTTCATTTATCTTAGTCCACCTTGCTTTGTAGCGTGCCAAATGATTTCTTGCCCTCAGAGGAGTATCGTTAGGAGAGGGACAGAGTTAGAGGACAAGGGAAGTTGCCATATTTCTTTCTTTTTTTCTTTTAAAATTTTTGTTTTTAATATTATTTACATAGCTGAGAAGGTGCATGCCCATGTGGCCTTGTTTCTGATCCTCAGAGAAAACGCCTCACCTGTCCCAGCTCGTGAAAGTGTTCCTGTAAGAGTAATACTGACTTTCTCCTTTCTGTCATCTCTGGACAGCTCAAAAAGTTCCCAAGAATGTAGGCGCCCGGTGTTCCACAAGTGTTGCTCCAGGTAGGAGCTGGGGCTGAGAAGGGATTTGGGGTGCATGTGAAGAGAGAATGGTGGAGGGACGCTGCTCCTGTGGTTCCTGACAGCTTTTCACTTTTCTAGTGTTGAAGAACCAGAAGCCAGTCCCTGCTGCTCCTGCCCAGAAGCCTGGCAGTAGGTGACAAACATACCCATTGGGTGAGGCTGGGGATAGGGCAGAGGAGGTGGTAAGTGCCCAGAAAAACCCAGTGGGATTCTTCCATCCTGAAATGGAAGAAGACAGATTTAGCATCAGGTATGGCGGCCCTAAATGCCAGAATGGACGAAGGATGGATACCCGCGACCCCTGACCTTTGTCCTTTCTGTGCCATCTTAGCATCAGCTGCTCCTCCCGTGGGGGCAGGGAAGAAACCTGGCAAACGTCCTGCCTGGGACTTAAAGGGTCAGCTGTGTGACATGACCGCAGAGCTGAAACGAAGCCGTGAGAGGACCCAGACATTGAGCCAGGAGAACCAGCAGCTGCAGGATCAACTCCGAGAGGCCCAGCAACAGGCCAAGGCCCTGGGGACAGAGCGCAGCACACTGAAGGAAGAACTAGCCAGGGTTCAGACCCAGGCCGAGCAGGGCCAGCAGGAGCTGAAGCGACGGAGTGCCCGGGTCCTGGAGCTCGAAGAACGGCTGGGCACACAGGAAAGCCTGGTGCAGGAGCTTCAGAAAGAGCAGCTGGAGCTGCAGGAGGAGCGGAGGGGCCTGGCCAGCCGACTGGAGGAGCAGGAGGTGAGGGCTGGATTCCCACCCGGTGCCGACCCCACCTCAGCAGAGATCATGCCACCCACTGAGGGCTCACTGGTCTGCCCTATTCAGCTGTGGTTCTGACTTGCTGTCTGCCTCTCTGTCGCTCTCCTTGACTTTGTGTTCCTAGCTCCTGCTTGGATCTGCGCATCCCCTAGTCTTCTACCCTCCCCCATACCCCGGCTTTTCTGGTCCCATCACAGTCACAAACCCCTGTGGTAATGCTTTCCCTCTTCCCGTGATTCTTGGTGGAATTGCAACTAGACTGAATGACTTGCAGTCTCTCAAATGACTGGTTTGTCACTTCCGGGCATTTTGTATTTGTATTTCCCTTTTTTGTTATTTTCTTTTTTAAGATTTATTTATTTTATTGGAAAGGCAGATATACAGAGAGGAGCAGAGACAGGGAGGAAGATCTTCTGTCCAATGATTCACTTTCCAAGTGGCTGCAACAGCTGGTGCTGTGCCGATCCAAAGCCAGGAGCCAGGAACTTCTTTCTGGGTCTCCCACACGGGTACAGGGTCCCTAGGCTTTGGGCCGTCCTCCACTGCTTTCCCAGGCCACAAGCAGGGAGCTGGATGGGAAGCAGGACCACCAGGATTAGAACCGGCGCCCACATGGGATCTTGGTGTGTTCAAGGCGAGGACCTTAACCATTATGCTATCGCATCGGACCCTTTTTGTTATTTTCATTCTGTGCTCAGCTTGTCCTTTGTTTTACACACAAACTTGTGCATTTCATCCTGATCATAATCTTCTTCATGTCCTCCTGGATATTCCTGTAGTCTTAGGGAATACTAGCATATCCTAGTCCTGTAATTCTTTGTTTTCTGCCAGATTGGGAGGTCCTTGAGAGTAAGAGACTCCACCTCACTCCCATGCCATCTTAGTCACATGATTTTTTTTTAAGATTTATTTTATTTGACAGGGGCAGAGTGACAGTGGAGGTGGGGGAAGAGGAGAGAGAAAAAATGACTGGTTATTAGTTACCTCCCCAAATGACCACAGTGGGAGTTCCATTTAGGTCTCCCCCACAGGAGCAGGGACCCAAGCACTTGAGCCATCTGCTGCTGCTTTAGCAGGGAGCTGGATCAGAAATGGAACAACTGGGACTCAAACCAGCATTTTGATGGAAGATGCTAGTGGGTTAAGGCAGTGGCCACAATGCCTGCTGTCTGTGGTTTGTTTACTCTTGGTTGCATCTCACTTTCTGTGTCTTTTCTCTCCTGGACAGAGGAGGCTAGAAGCTTCAGAGGCTGCCCTGTCAAGCAGCCAAGCAGAGGTGGCGTCTCTGCGAGAGGAGACAGCAGCCCAGGCGGCCTTACTAGCTGAGCGAGGAGACCGTCTCCACAGTCTAGAGATGGAGCGCCGGCGCCTGCACAACCAGCTGCAGGAACTTAAGGGCAACATCCGGGTATTCTGCCGGGTCCGCCCTGTCCTTCCAGGGGAGCCCACCCCATCCCCTGGCTTCCTCTTGTTTCCCCCTGGCCCTGGCGGGCCTGCTGATCTCTCAAACCGCCTTACCCTCTCTCGCTCTGATGATCGGCGTGGAACCCTGAATGGGGCACCAGCTCCCACCACCCGCCATGATTTCTCCTTTGACCGAGTATTCCCACCAGGAACTAAACAGGATGAAGTATTTGAGGAGATTGCTATGCTTGTCCAATCAGCCCTGGACGGCTACCCCGTATGCATCTTTGCTTATGGCCAGACAGGCAGTGGCAAGACCTTCACAATGGAAGGCGGGCCTGGAGAAGACCCCCAGTTGAAGGGGCTGATTCCTCGGGCCATGCAACACCTCTTCTCCGTGGCCCAGGAGCTGAGTGGCCAGGGCTGGACCTACAGCTTTGTGGCAAGCTATGTAGAGATCTACAATGAGACTGTCCGAGACTTGCTGGCCACTGGAACACGGAAGGGCCAAGCAGGAGAGTGTGAGATTCGCCGTGCAGGACCAGGGAGCGAGGAACTCACTGTCACCAATGCCAGATATGTCCCTGTGTCCTGTGAGAAGGAGGTAAGGACACAGAGGGCACTAGAACTGAGCGGTGGGGAAGAGAGGGCCTGGCGCCACAAGGTGGGAGTCTGCAGAGCAAGGAGATTATGGGATGGAGAGGATGTGGGATAGTTTGCTACATTGGGCGATGAGGGATAGCATCTATGGCATAAGCAGACACTGGAGAGAAGCGACCCAAGTGCTGCGGGGACAGGACCACTATACTAACTTTCTGTCTTTGTTCTTGCTGCCCCACATCCCCAGGTGGAGGCCCTGCTCCATCTAGCCCACCAGAATCGGGCCGTGGCTCGCACAGCACAGAATGAGCGGTCGTCACGCAGCCACAGCGTGTTCCAGTTGCAGATCACGGGGGAGCATGCTAGCCGAGGCCTGCAGTGTGGGGCCCCCCTCAACCTTGTGGATCTGGCTGGGAGTGAACGGCTAGACCCCAGCTTAGCTTTCGGCCCCGGGGAGCGGGAGCGTCTTCGGGAAACACAGGCCATTAACAGCAGTCTGTCCACGCTGGGCCTGGTCATCATGGCCTTGAGCAACAAGGTGAGGAAAGGGGGCGTAAGCAAGTGAGCCTGGGGGACCAACTGGCTGTGTGGAAGCTTGCCCTACCTGATCCGTGTGTTCCTGCTCAACTTCCTAGGAGTCTCACGTCCCTTACCGGAACAGCAAGCTTACGTATCTGCTGCAGAACTCTCTGGGTGGCAGCGCTAAGATGTAAGTGAACGTGCACGAGAGGGATTGAGTAGGATCTGTTGTGTGGAGTTAGGGTTGAGAGGGGACCTGGCCGGGCTCTGCTGATCGCTATTACTGAGGTTGGGCCTCCTTTTTTCTCACAGGCTCATGTTTGTGAACATTTCCCCTCTGGAAGAGAACGCCTCCGAATCCCTCAACAGTCTGCGCTTTGCCTCCAAGGTGCGGTTAACACCAAGGCCAGGTCCTTTTAGGAGCCCTGGCTGATTGCAGGCCTCTCCATCCTGACCCCTCTGTCTTCCAGGCCGGGGCCATACTTTCCTAGAAGCAATTCACATCCGGCAGGCATCTGAGCACTGCCTACCTGGTTCCATTTTTAACTTATGGGTTTTGAATTAAGTTTTTAAAACAGATGACAAAAAGGTCAAAACTATATTGAGAGCTAGCTATACATAACACAATGAAATGTTATTATCACTAGCCCTGTCCACTCCATCTTCCATTCCTGTAAAGTCATTTTTATCATTTATTGTTTATCCTTCCAGTGTCACTTTTGTTTGTCCAAGTAGAAACTATACGTAATTTCTAATCCTTTTCCTTATCTCATTCTACAAGTAGTTCTGCTTCTTTTTTTTTTTTTTTTTTTTGTGCAACAAAACAGCCTCCTCCCCTCAGAGATGAAGTTGTTATTTTTAGGTTGACCTAAGACTGCACTGTTTGGAGACACTAGGATTTATCCACCAGTTCCCTGTACTGGACACTTAGATTGCTTCCATGCTTTTTCTATGACCCATAAGGCCGCGTTGACCTTTTTTTTTTTTTTTTTAAGATTTATTTATTTGAAAGAGCAACAAAAAGGGAGAGACAGGAATCTTCCGTCCACTGATTTACTCCCCAAGTGGTTGCAGTAGCCAGGTCTGGGCTAAGCTGAAGCCAAGAGTCACTAACTTCATCCCGGGTGACAGGGGCCCAAACACTGGGGTCATTCTCCACACCCTCCTAGGCACATTAGCATGGGGTTAGATCAGAAGAAAAAACAGCCAGCATAACCCACCGACCCCAATTGTCTTATGTATGCATTAGGTTTATCAGCATCCTGACAGAGGCCATCTGTTTTGGTTGAAGTATCCCACTTCCTTTTTAATCTAGAACAGGTCCCATTCCCTTATACCGTTTATTTGTTAAAAAAAGTAGGGTCCATGGCCATGACAGCTCAGGGCTGCTGCCTGGGAAACAAAGTTGGGCAAGAAAGAAAAAAAGAAGTAGGGTCATTTTTCCTATCGAATATACCATATTCATGAGTTTGGCTGGTTTTGCTGTCTAATAGAGGTTTGAGTAGACTTTAGTCGAGTCCATTGCCAAGATGGTACAGGATATTTCTTATGTGTCCTGTCAGAAGGTCCCCAATACTTAGCTGTTCAACCTAGAATGATCCATTTTAAACTTCCCATCAGCATTTTCACCTAGTGATTTTCTGAAACAATGATCTCGCCCAGATCAGAGATTTCATTAGGGGATTTAAAATGGTTCCTTCCCAACCTTCTCAGTTCTGCATTGGCTAATTAACTATTCTATGAAGAGCTGCCCCTGCCATCTCCAGGCACAGCTGAGGTATTATGGGTTCATCCAGGCCACTGCAATGAGGTAGACACTGCAATAAGACTAATCATGAATCTTACTTCTCAGTGCATACAGAAGTTTACACTATACTGTATTCCTATTGTATGACAGTAGCATTATGTCTAAAAGATATAGATAACCTTAATTGAAAATACTTGTTTAAAATGCTGTTATTAAAAAATAATAATAATAATAAAGTGCTGTTATTTTAACTGTTGGAGACATGGCACCAGCAGCATTGTTTAGTGCAGGCATACCAATCCTTTGCAGTCATTATGTTTTTAATTACTATTAAAAAATTCTTTGAGTTATAGGGAATTTTTTTTTTAAGATTTATTTATTTTATTGGAAAGTCAGATATACAGAGAGGAGGAGAGACAAAGATCTTCCATCTTATGATTCACTCCCCAAATGAGTGCAATGGCCAATGCTATGCTGATCCAAAGCCAGGATCCAGGAACCTCTTCCAGGTATCCCACACAGGTGCAGGGTCCCAAAGCTTTGGGCTGTCCTCGACTACTTTCCCAGGCCACAAAGCAGGGAGCTGGATGGGAAGTGGAGCTGTCGGGATTAGAACTGGCACCCACATGGGATCCTGGTGCGCTCAAGGCGAGGACTTTAGCCGCTAGGCCACGCCACTGGGCCTGAGTTATAGAGAATTTGAGACAAAGATTTTCCATCTTCTGGTTCATTCCCCAAACAGTCCCAACAGCCAGAGCTGAGCCCATCCGGAGCCAGGAGTTTTGGGTCTTCCACATGGATGTAGGGGTCCAAGGACCTGGGACGTACCCCACTTCTTTCTCAAGCCATCAGCAGGGAGCTGAAAGGGAAGTCGAACAGCTGGGACATGAAGAATCAGCTATGTTCTGTCATTACATCAGCCCCTCTTCCACCTCTCTCTTCACTTGGGAGTTCCCCACTCTTCCAAGGCCTTTTCATCTCCATACCCACCTGGCACAGAACTGGCTGGGACCTGCCTCTGGAGCTTCCTTCCTTCAGGACCCTTATTTCAGGATTTCCTGAAGACAGAGATCTTAGAGAAAATGTTCTTTTCTGCAAACTTTTTATTCTGTCTCTTCCCGCAGGTGAACCAGTGTATTATTGGTACTGCCCAGGCCAACAAGAAATGAAGATGGATCCTGTTTCTTTGTGTGCATGTGGGTGTACGTGTGAGCCTGAGTTTAGGGGAGGCGGCTGGTAAGGGGTGCTTCACTAGGTGGAGGGTCCTATGTACCCGGTTTATCAAATAAATAGTTGCTTTGCTTTTTTTTTTTTTAAAAAAAATAAAGGTTTTATTAGCAGTTAACCCAAGAAGATGTTTTTCATATCTGTGAAGATAGAAACTGTGGCGCAGTCTACCCCGCCATGTGTGTGGGATTAGGCTTTTCTAAAAATATCGTTCTTTTTTTGAAAGCAGAGAGAGGAGACATGGAAAGCTCTTTCACTTGCTAGTTTACTTCCCAATGCCCACAACAGGTCCAGGCTGAAACCAGGAGCCCAGAATCCAGTCTTTCCTTGGGGGGCAGGGACCTGCAGATTCCTAGGGTCACAACAGCAGAAGAGTTGGAACTGAAAGCAAAGTCGGGCACCCCAACGTGGGAGGCAAGGTTCCAATGACTTAAACCACACACAATTTTTTAATACTTGGTTGGAAGGCAAAATTAGAAGTCTTCCATCTACTGGTTCACTTCACAAATGGCCCCTGGCCCCCAGGTTGCAACTTCATGGTACTTGTGTCATTTACGTCAATGAGACGTACCAATTAGGTCATGCAGAATTCCAGCACGGTCACGAAGTTGCCCTTTCCTACCAGCACCACAGCTGCAATGCTTCCAACCCTGCGGCAAGTTGGGAACCCGAGTTCAGGGGCGGCGCGTCCAGTCACCAACTGCTGGTCCTCTCCTCCCGCCTTTCCATGTCTTCCTGTTCGAACAGCCGGGGCGCTGCCTTTCCCCTACCTATTGGCTGGCCCCTGGTGGCGTCACTGCCTCGGGAACTGGCCCTCGTCCTTGTGCCCGCCCCGGCAGTGGGCGGGCGCGCACCCTCGCCGCGCCCCTCGCGCCAACCGCCATCGGCTGCCGCCCGCTAGAGGAGGGACTCGGTTCTCCCAGGTGCCGTGCGCGGGAGGTGCCACGCGTGCGCAGAGGCGCGGGGCTGGGTGTATGTGGGGGGGGGCCCTGCTTGCCACGGAGCGGGCGGGGCCAGGGGCAACCTCTGGGAGGAGGGCAGAGTGGGGGTAAGGGGAAGGGTGAATGGAGGGCGGGGCCGTGAACTGGGGCCTGGGGCGGGACTTGGAGTGACCAAGGGGGGTGGGGCACCTAACGGATGTAACATGGGGTGGGGGGCCAATCTTGGGAGGGGGATTCCCTTTTGCCCCAAAGGCAAGTCTCCCCTCAGAGGAAGGGGCCACGGGGATTCCCTCCCCTTGAGGGTTCCACTACTGACGCCCCAAACCGGTGAGGGGGAAGCCGCTTTCGAGGCGCCCTCCAGGCACGCTGGAGGTGAGGGAGGTGGGGTGAGGTGGTGCCCGCCCCCCCTTTCAGCTCCTCCTACCCCCAAGTCCTCCCCTCCCACCACCCTCCCCCCAGCCCGGCTGTCCCTCCCCTCCCCTCCCCTCCCTCCCCCCGCCGCCTCCTTTTGCTGTGCTGCTGCTTTGGCTGCTTTGGCTGCTGCGTCATACGCCCCAGAGCCGCCGGGACGGAGGGTCTGGGCCTGGGGACCCCCGGCCTCAGTCTGCACGGCTCTCAGCGCCTGGACGTGCCCTTCCCGCACGGAGGGCTCGCCTAGGTCTCCTCCATCTGCCTGTGCCTGGCTCCCGGCGGCCCCAGCTGTCACCGGTAAGGAGGCGGCAGGAGGCGCCAGTGGGGGGGGGTGCGGACAGGGAGCCAGGGGTCCACTCGCGGGGCGCGGGGTGGGAGACCCTTGTGCAGCTCTGGCCTCGGGTCGGGCAGGGCCGACCGACTGGAGTCTCTTTTCCGACTTGCCATCGTGGGGAAGAGAGCTGGACCGGGACACGCCCCCTCCCAGGGCACTCAGGGAAGTTACCTAACCCAGGGGCAAGGGAACCCTGAATTTGAGGGTGACCTGACATACCTAACTCAGCGGTAAGGGAGCCCCGAATTTGAGGGTGACCTGACATACCCTGGCACTAGGAAAAATTGTTGTGTGTGAGATAGCAGACAGCTGTTTCTCCTCTGGAAAACATCTCCAGAAAAGCTCTCTCAACACATGCCTGGAACACACAGAACCCAATTATGCTATCTCTGAGCAGAAGGTGAAACTGAGGGGTAATCGCTACTTCTCCAATTATGATTTCTCCCCAAATCTAAAGACTAGGCTATTAGTACCCCAGGACAGCTCTGGAAGCTGGGAAATGAGAGAACTGGGTTCAGGGGAGGGTGGCTGGGAGAACTGGCCACTAAAGTTGGAAGAGTTTTGGAATCAGGAATCTGGGAGGAGTACTCAAGTGGTGTTGGGGTCTGGAGAGCATGAGATACTTGGTTCTGGAAGGAAAAATGGGCTTTCTCAGCATTCATAACCACCACTTTCCCACCCCCTTCCTGGCTAGGCCCCCCCAGGATGCCATGGCGCAGTCTCCCCGGCTGAGCCGCTCTAGTGCGCCCTCCCTTTGGGACCCAGCTTCCCCTGCTCCCACCTCAGGCACCAGGCCTCGGCTGTGGGAGGGTCAAGATGTACTGGCCAGATGGACCGATGGGCTGCTCTACTTGGGCACCATCAAGAAGGTAAGACCTACCTCTGACCTCTGACCTTCTCACTGATCCATCAGTTCCCTGATGGAATCCTGGCTCCCACTGCATGCCATGTGTTCACCCTTTCCAGGTGGACAGCACTCGGGAGGTGTGTCTGGTCCAGTTTGAGGATGACTCCCAGTTTCTGGTTCTATGGAAAGACATTAGCCCTGGTGAGACTCAGAGACCTTGAGACTGCAGTCCATGGCAAACAGTGACCTTGCCTGGGATAGAAAGCCACCCGAGGGCTGGCCTACTGACACAGTGTTCCCTCGCAGCTGCCCTGCCCGGGGAGGAACTCATCTGCTGCGTCTGTCGATCTGAAGCAGTGGTCCCTGGGAACCGGCTGGTCAGCTGTGAGAAGTGTCGCCATGGTAAGAGAGCAACATACCTGAGCTGCTTGGTGAAGTTGGCTCTGGGCCTGCCAGGCTGTCTCGAGGCCTTCCCTCCAGCACTGGTCCTGTGTCAGGTCATCTCTTCTGGCCTCTCATCAGTGCCACTGATCGGGCCAGTCTGTTCAAGCCTGAAACCTTGCCCCCTTGCAGCACAGGGAGGGGCAGCCATGAACTGAAGGTGACCTGAGTTTAACAGGCAGAAGGTGATTCAAAGACATCTTTCTCTAACCATGTGACCTTAGGCAAGTCCCTAAACCTCTAGTTTCCTCACTGATATCATCTTTAGATAATGCCCTCACTCCAGCAGAACCATGTGGTCTAGGTTTAAGCAAGATGGATCAAAATGTTGGAATCTCAGTAACAAGCGCAAATAGGTACACAATGTGAACAATGTCATTCTTCAGCTTATCACCAGGACTGCCATGTTCCCAGGGCCCCAGCCCCTGGTGAGGGAGACGGCACCTCCTGGGTGTGCCGCCAGTGCATCTTTGCAATCGCCACCAAGGTAAAGGAAGTCTCCTGTTGCCCCTTCCTGTGGGAGCCTCTCCCAGCTGCTGAGGCAGCTGAAATCTTGCCCCCTGTTTCTGCAGAGGGGAGGTGCACTGAAGAAGGGCCCCTATGCCAGGGCCATGCTGGGCATGAAGCTGTCACTGCCCTATGGACTCAAAGGGCTGGACTGGGATGCTGGGCACCTGAGCAACCGACAGCAGAGCTACTGCTACTGCGGTGGCCCTGGGGAGTGAGTAGTAATGGGGTGGCAGCTCTGAGGGGGTCAGGAGGGAAGTGATGAGCAAGTTTGGGGGGCAGTGATGGGGAAGGCAGTGTCTGGAGGTCCATGTGCTTCCCCTCTAGGTGGAACCTGAAGATGCTGCAGTGTCAGAGCTGCCTGCAGTGGTTCCACGAGGCCTGCACCCAGTGTCTGAGCAAGCCCCTCCTCTATGGGGACAGGTGAGACCAGGGCAACCCTGCAGGAGGCCCTTACATCCTGCTCCCTTGCCAAACTCTCAACATTTCCTCACTTGTCACCCCTTCTTGCCCGGGAGTCCTCGGGGCAGTCTGCAACTAGAGGATATGTTCCGCCCACGTCCAGGTTCTATGAATTTGAATGCTGCGTGTGCCGGGGGGGCCCTGAGAAAGTTCGAAGGCTACAGCTCCGCTGGTAAGATGGATGGGGCCTGATCTCAAAGGCACCTCCTTTCCCAGCACCCTCAGGATCTCACCTTACATACCCCAGCTGCCCAGCTTGACCCCCCAGCTTTTCTGATGTTCGGAGGCTTTGACAACTTGGTTTCTCCAGGGTTGATGTGGCCCATCTTGTCCTCTACCACCTGAGCGTCTGCTGTAAGAAGAAATACTTTGATTTTGACCGCGAGATCCTCCCCTTCACCTTTGAGAACTGGGACAGTTTGCTCCTGGGGGAGGTAAAAGGATGGTGGAGCTTTAAGTAAGGTCCTGGGGTAGGACAGGGAGACTAGACAGGAAGGGAGTGCTTCACTGCTTCCCTAAGCCCCTCTCTCCTTCCCAGCTTTCAGACACTCCCAAGGGAGAGCGTTCTTCCAAGCTTCTCTCTGCCCTTAACAGTCACAAGGATCGGTGAGTTGAAGGCAGCTGGAGGGATGGGGGGTTGTGGAGGAGCAGTTGAGGAGTGGCACAGGCGTGGCCAGGACCACGTGGGCCAGGAGCAAGGGAAGCTTCACTTTTCTGCATCACTGACCTGCAGTTTACCTGCTCAGTTTCATTTCAGGACGAGAGATCAAAAAGAGAAAATGTTTATTTGGCCTCCACGCTCGCATCCCTCCTCCTGTGGAGTCCACTCCCGGAGATGGAGCCCCCACCAGGTCACTGGTCCAGGAGAGATGGGGGAAATTCTGAGGGAGTTAGTCTGGGGGATTATTTGTGTGTATGTAGTGATGGGGAGGTCTTTGGGGTGTCCGGGAGGGGGCTGGGGGGATAAGGAGGCCTCTTACAGCTTCCCTTCAGGGCAGGGCCCTGGGGGAGGGGTCTCACGTCCCCTGGGGAAGCGCCGGAGGCTGGAGCCAGAGCTGGAGCCAGAGCCAGAGCCAGAGTCAGAGCTGGAGCCGGAGCCGGAGCCAGAGCCCCCGGGGAAGAGGCCGAAGGGGAAAGTGGAGGAGCTGGGGCCACCCTCAGCAGTGCGTCAGCAGCCCGAGATGGAGATCCTAGAGCAGAGAGAGCGGGCTCGTATGCAGCGGGCACTGCAGGTACTAGGGTGGGGGAACCCCACGGGATGCGGTGGGATGTGGGAATGAATCAAGGATTAGCGCTCAGTCCCTGGCCCTTCCTTCTAGGCCTCTGTGTCTCCACCACCCTCCAGCCCTAACCAGAGTTACCAGGGCAGCAGCGGCTACAACTTCCGGCCCACAGATGCCCGCTGCCTGCCCAGGTCAGTTACTCCTCCAACCCACCAACCAAATGTGGTCCCATTCCAGTTCTCTGGACTTTGTTACCTGGAGTTCTTTTGTTCCACCTCCCTTAGCTACCTACTTCTTGTAGGACTTCTAGAACCAGAGTCTGGTTGTTCTTGGGGGTAGGCAGGCTTCCTGGAGGGAGTGTTGGCACTCTGCTTCTCCCTCTGCTTCAAGTCCTCTTTTTCTGCCTTCCCAACTCCAGCAGCCCTATCCGGATGTTTGCCTCCTTCCACCCTTCTGCCAGCACTGCAGGGACCTCTGGGGAGGGTGAACCCCCAGACAGGTGAGCATCTGTGTCTTATTATATCATCTCCATCAAGCTACTTAGTGTCCCCCCATGGCTTTGTGCCCCATCTGATCCACACGTGCACCCCAGCTCTCAATTTCTGATCAATCCTGGCCCATTTCTGTTGACTCAAAACTGCTGTCTCTCTCTCTGTAGGTCACCCCTGGAACTTCACATTGGTTTCCCCACAGACATCCCTCAAAGTGCCCCCCACTCAATGACTGCCTCATCTTCCTCAGCCCCAGTCCTGCCCCCAGGTCCTCCTAGCCGCTCAGCGCCTCCTTCAACCCTGTGCCGTGGCTTGTCTCCTGGGACTGGGGGAGGGGGCCGTGGTGGAGTTGGCTACCTGTCCCGAGGAGACCCTGTGCGGATACTTGCTCGGCGGATACTGCCTGATGGCTCCGTGCAGTACCTGGTGGAGTGGGGCGGAGGAGGCATCTTCTGAACAGTCCCACTTCCGCCTACTTCCCTGCTTATTACACGGCGGCACTTTGACACCCTGACCTCTCACCTCACCTACAGCTGGGATGTACCTGGGCAGATGGGGGGGAGGTCGCCCTCCCGACTATCCAGGCTGGAATCGGGATTGGGACAGGGAAGACTGTCTCTTCTCTGCCCCCTTCAGGATTCCTCACCACCCCCACATCTTCCCCTTCTATGTTACTTTGTTATAGCTTTTTAAATATTTTTAAAAATTATTTAACCCCTGGGTGCAAAGACTTGAAGAGGGGAAGGGGATGAGATGAGCTTCTGGGCTCTATCATGGTTGAAATAAAGAGACAATAACAAACGAAGCCCTGTGTCACTCTGAAAGACAGAGGGTTCAAGGACCAGAAGTGTCGCTCCTTTTCCCCAACCAACTTTGTGAATGTGACCAGCAAAAGAAGCAAAAAGGCAGAGAGAATCAAAGACAGGATTTATTGGGGGGCCCAGTTATCACCTGGAAGGCAGAGAGTATGGGAATCTGGGAAGTGATTATGGCTGGATGGTGCTGGAGTCAGAGCCCGACTCTGTGACCTGCCGCACCCACTGCAGGTACGGGGAGTTCCCCTGCTCCACAGGCAGCGCGATCACCTCTGCCACTTCATACGGGTGTATGGAACTGCGAAAGACGTGGTGGTGCATGGTGGGGAGGTGGGGTCACAAAGGCAGCTCTCTCCCCAGCACCCCTCACATACAGCACACACCCTCACCACATCCACCCTGACAGGCTCTCACCGAACAAATTCTGTCAGAGCTGGGACCAAGGAACTCTGAGTCTTGATCATCTAAGGAGCAAACATAAATATGGTTGAATCGGGGTAGACAGGTGGGATTCAATTTAGGATCTCAATTGAGGGGTGGGGCCCAGGGCACTGGGGTTGGTTTCTCACCATCAGCACCTCACTGTCCTCCTCGATCTTGCCTTTCCATTCGTAGCTAAAGAGGGTCAGAGAAAGAGGTACCAAGTCTCGGAGAGCAAATCATTCCCCCCCACATAAGACTCCCAGTCAAGCCTCCCGCGTTCAGGTTACCCGGGAATCCTGTGACTCACATGGATGTGATCTGAGGGATGAGGTTCACACAGGCTGCCAGGCGCTTCTCCACCACGGCCCTGGCACCAAGACAGCCCCGCTCAGAGCAGACCCCGGCCGCGGCACCGGCAGCCCCGCAGCCGGACACACAGCGGCGCTCTCCTCGCCCCACCGCGGTGCCCACCTGGCGATCTCCGTGGCGACCTTCGAGTTCGGGCAGGTGACAAAAGCTGCAGAGACCGATCCGGGAACATAGCCGGAGCCTGCGGCTGGCGAGGGCTGGGACGGGGGCACTTCGGCGGCCATGGACAGCAGGGCTCGGGATAGAAAGCGAGAGGCCGCGGGCAGCAGGACTGGCATCCAAAGAAACGACAGGAGCAGGGCGGCCTGAGGGCGGGGGGCGAATTCGGTCTCTCCGCGCGGCTGTCCCGGGAAACCGCACCGCAAGGAGCCTTCGCCTGCTTAGACACTCGGGCTCTGCCCTCCCTCTTCCGCGCCGCGAAGGAAAACGTCCCTAAGCCCCGAAGAGAAACTTGGAAAATTAAAACAAAGACTCGTTTTTCACACGCTCCCGAGGACCAATCGCTCGGATTTCGGGTGCGCGGAGTGGTGGAGACTTCGAGGACCGGAAGGGGCGGGGCGGGATGATTCACTCACCCCTCCGCCGAGCAGGACTGTGGGAGCCCGTCCCCCCCACATGCAGCCTATGCCGACAGAGGAGAGTCGGTAACCAGGGGTGCACGTAATACTGACAAGAAGACTCCCCAAAATTCGGGAAGAGCGCCCTCTTCTTACCTAGAGAGCAGTCACATGACAAGAAATAGCGAATATCACGTGACACAAATAGGCCCACCCTAGCCTCCAAAACCAACCAATCATCGTCCCCCTTTGGCTCGGACAAACCCGCCTCTTGGTGAGGGAGGAGCGAGGGGAGATTTGGCCAATCGACAGCCTCGTCTAGAGACTTGCGCGGAAATGGCCCGCCCATTTCCATGTAAACCGAAGGGCCCAGTCGCAGGCGGAGGGGAACTGCTGCGGCGCTCTAGCATCACGTGACGGGGCCGGGCCTCTTGGGCGGCAGTACATCAGGGAGTGACACGAACGGGCCAATCGCAGGCTAGCCCTGCAGGCCACGTGACAGGAGAGTTGGCGCTGGGATTAGAGGGGCGGAGACCCCGCAGTTCAATGCGTCAGGTCGTGGACCAGGCGGGGTGGGGGTCATCCTAAAACCCCAGATCGCCCCTAGTAACAGCCTCGTCCTGCTTCCGCGGCCTTAAGCTGTGTGTGTGTGTGTGGGGGGGGTCTGAGAGGACTGAATCCCAGCGGGTGAAGACAGCGCCCCCTGTTGTTTTAGCGAGGGCTTACATGTGCTTGGGTTTGGGAATGAACAAGATGGTCTGAGGCGAAGCCAGCTGTCCCCAGGTAGGGGGGGAGCGATTAGGCAGGCATGGACGTGGCAGGACAACAGCCAAGTTGAAAAAGATGCACTGCCTTTGTAGATGGGGTAGAGGATGATGAAAATCCTCAGCCCTCTTCACGTAAAGCCCAAAGCTTGAGACCAAGGGGAGATGCTAGGGATGCAGGTTGGGGATGGTGGTGATGGGCCTCTTTTCCCCTCTTATCTGAGGGGACAGGATTGGACCACCTCTGAGTCTTGGGTCTCCTTTCCTTATCCCAACACCCAAGGAGCCGGGACCTGCCCTACATAACCTCCCTGGGGCCCAAGCACATTCTGTGACCCAAAAATGCAGAGAGGGGCCAATGGGAGGCCAGAGAAATGGGAGAAGACCAGCACTGGGCGTGGGGTCAGGGATGACCTGGTGGGTGTGACTGCAGGTGACAGGTGGCTCCCGTTGGGGTTCCCTGATATGTACCACCCTGGATTTGGGGCTGGGTGGCTGTCTCCCTGAGACCTGTATTTGGATTTGGAGTTGAAGAGATCTCCCGGGTCCTTTCTCAGGGTTCATGTTAGGGTCCTTTCTCAGGACTTGGTTTTTCTGATTTTTGTTGTGGGCATTTCTGTGTTTCAGGCTGTGATGGTTGCTCTCCCTGGGTTCTTTCAAAGTTTTTCAAGGGTGCTGGGATGTGGAGTTCTGGGTCTCTGGGCTAGCTGAGTGCCTGCCTCTGCCCCTTTCTCCCTCTCTGAGTTTTTAGTCTCTGCGTGTTCTCTTGAGACAGGAGCCTGGGGTCTCTCCGGATCTGAGACTGGGAGTTTTCCCTGTGTCTGGGTCTTTGTTTTGACACAGCCTCTTGGGGTCTGGAAGGTAAGGTTCTTGTGGCTATGCAGGACTTCTCTGAAGCCGGACTCAGATTTTGATCCTTGATTCTTTCAATAGGGTCTGGGGTCTCTCTCTCTCTTTTTTCTGAGATTAGGTGTCTCTTCTCCTCTAGATTTGAGGTCTGTGTCTTCAGTTAACACCCTGGGGCTGGTGTGGTTTTCTCTTCTGTGGGTCTGGGGTCCCTCAGGGTCTGGGGTCTGTGGCTTCAAGGCTGCTCACTGTCTCTGGTGTGTTTTGAGTCAGGGGTCTCTTTCCCCCTCTCCTCCACTCTCCCTCCCTCCCTCTTGGTCTCCCTGAGTAGGGGTGGGGGCTGCAGAATCTCTCCCTCCTCCTCCTCCTCCTGCCTGCTCCTCTCTCGCTCACTTCCCCCGCCCCCCTCTCCTCTCTCTCTCGGCTGCCGCTGCTGCCGTTGGCTCTTATTCTCCTCCTCCTCCTCCTCTCTCCTCCTCTCTGCTCCTCTCTGCTCCTCTCTCCTCCTCTCTCCTCCTCCTCCTCCACCTCCTCCTCCTTCTCCCCCTCTCTCTCCCCCTCTTTCTCTCTTCTCTTTCTCCCCCGTCCCCCCGCCCCCTCCCCCCCAGGCCTGATGAGCAGGTCTCGCGCCTCCATCCATCGGGGGAGCATCCCCGCGATGTCCTATGCCCCCTTCAGAGGTACGGTGGTGGGGGGAGGGGGAGGACCAGATGGGGGGGCGCGAGGGGGAGGGGCAGGGGGCGGAGGAGAACCTGGGCCAGGGAGAGGAGAGGACGGCTGGAATGGAGGGAGAGAGGGGGATTGGAAAGGCAGGGGTGGGAGCTATGAGAAAGGAGGGATTGGAGGCCAGAGAGGTAGGGAGGTAGGTAAGGGATGGAGGGGCCAGGAAACAGGCTTTGAAGGGGGGCCCAGGGGGAACTGAGGAGAGAGAGGGGGCCAGAAAAAGGTAGGAGCTAGAAGGTTGGGGGAGAGCTGCAGAAATAATTTGGAGGTGGGAGCTGAGTGATGAGGAAAATATGAAGGAAATAGAGGGACAGAGTCTTGGGAGAGGGTCTCGAAGGGGAGATGAAAACATTGGGAAAAAAAAAGAGAAGCCAAGAAGATGGGGGAATTTGGTGTATGTTGGGGGGGGGGGTTGCTCAGAGAACCGTAGGGGATAGAAAAAGAGGAGGATGGAAGGAGAGAAGGGGCCAGATGGAGAGAGAGGGAGGCAGTGGGGGGGATGGAGGGTCCAGATGGAGGGAAGAGAGGAGAGAGAGGGAAAGGGTTGGGGGAGGGGAGGCCAGGGCAGGGGGAGGGCCAAATTATATGTGTGTGGTGGTGGTGGTGGTGGTGGGTGGGTGGATACAAGTAAGATTAAGTGGTGGCAGTAGGGGCCCAATTGGGCTCTTGCCCCAGACTCTGACCCTCATTAAGGCTCTTGACCAGAGAAATATAACCCTCGGGTCTTATCTGCTCTCCCACGTTACCACTTTTACCCCCTTCCCCCACCTTCAATCCTTATTTTCATTCCCCCTCCCTCCTCTGCTGTCCATCACCTATATCTTTCCCCCATATGGTGTCCGTTCCTTATATGAGTCCCCCTTCTGTCCTTCCCCTGTATTAGTCCCTCTCTGGTGTCTCTCCTCCTCCTTCTCTTTGTGGTGACTTCCTTTTATCTCTGCTACCACTCTACCCTCTCCTTCTTGACCCGCTTATCCTAGTCCTCCTGTCTAGTCCTCCTTCTTTCCTCTGTCCATGTCCAGTTGAGCCCTTGTCTCTTGTCATTTATCATCCTGTGTCCCTTGTGTGCTCCCTTGTTCCCAGGCATTTACTGTCATCTCTGCCTCCTGTTCTTTTAGAGCTCCTTATTTGTCCCCAAGCCCATCCTCTATTTTCTAATCCACTCCCCATCTTGACCCCTACAAGTCTATGCTGGACTACTTTCCTTTAATACCTCAGTCCTTATCGCCACATTCTTCTGATCTCTTTTTGGGGTGTTGGGATTTGGGGTGCAAAGACCGAAGTTTTGATGGTTGTGACAGGGGCTATAAAAGGAGCTGAGCCCTTCTGGGATTTCTCCTCCTAGTAAAATTTACCCTCTTTACAGCCATGTTTCTCTGCCTCTTGGAATCATCCTTCCTAAGTACAGACTGCCAGTGTGTGTGTGTGTGCGCGTGCGTGTGTTTCCAGAGTTGCTCCTAAGCTGAGTTCTGTGTGTCCTTCCCTGCTTCTAGGAGAAAGGTGCTCTCTGAAATCTAATCCGCCTTCCTGGGCTGCTGCTGGAAGCATCCCCTCCTATAATGGTTATGTGCATCAGCTGAGTTCTCTAGGTGCCCCCCAGTGTTTGAGTGCAGTGGGTGTATTGCATGCAGTGCCTGTGGTTTCAGAGCTCAGGCATTGGGCAGCTCTGTGTCTAGGCAGTATTGGATACAGCCTCTGAGATGGTATTAAGATAGAGTTTTGAGATATTGTGGCTTCTCCACTGTGGCCATTTATGTGCTCAGGGTTCATCTCTCTGCTCTAGAAGTTGACTAAATTTGAGGGACATGTTTGTGGACAGGAAAGGCCTGGATCTTCAAAACTACTCAGAGCATTCTGTTGGGAAGAAGTGCCAAGACCAGCTTTCCCACAGTACACTCATGGTTAAACTATCCCACAAATGGGACAGAGCTTGAATTTTCTCCCTCTAATCCCTCTCACTCAGATGCCTGCAGCCTCAAATTTTTATGTCACTTCAATGGATGTCACCAATCTGATTTCTCTTTTACTTCCACAGGATCAGTGCCCTGTGTTCCTGTGATGGTGTGAGGCATTGTGGTATAAAGGAGAGGAGGTTTGCAGGGAAGGGAGTATGGCAAGACAAACAGCCAACTTGGGGCAAGGGATCCCTGGGACAAGCTCTGATCCTGAGCGACCTGGGTCTACCATTCTACTCTTTTGGACATTCCATTTCTATCTTGAGCTTTCATCTTTAGAGGCTCCCTCTATGTCACTAGGCCCAGGCATCCCATTCTTCCTTCCACTCTGTCTTCCTCAAGCTCCTCACTGGGCCTCAGGGAGGGTCCTAGAATGTGGAATTGCCTCCCACCCTAACCTTAGAGACTAGCGGAGAGGGCAGCATTGAATTTGATCTTTGGACATGGAGTGGGGGAAGAGATGAAATTACTACATATTCATCCAGAATAGGGTGTATGCTCCCCCTTCTTCTGCTCTGACCCCTTTCTCATCCAGATGCTAACAAAAGCCATCTTCTCCCTACCATGAGAACTCTCCCTTCCAGTGGGACTGGGGTGGACTGAGGGAGAAGTGGGAAGGGTAGCCATTTCATGTGTCTGACTTTGTGATCAGGTGAGCTCCCCAAGCTCCTCTGTCTTCCAGATATTTAGCTCTCAGCATCTCATGAACCTACACACATATACACACCAGTTTTTCTTTCCTATGGCTGTGTAACTTTTCTTTAACTTGCTTGCTGCTACTTTCCCAGTACCTGTCTTTTGTAGCTGTTTGGATGCCCTTTCCTTTTCCCAGACACCTACTCCCAAGTTCTCTCTGCA